GCAGCAGCAGCAGCAGCAGCAGCAGCAGCAGTAGCAGTCCCGCCTGCCACTGACAGACTGCGCCGCGCCCCACGTGCGCTGCGCGTGCCGCCTCAGGCCCTTGGTCGCCCACCGACACCCTCCCCGCGCCCCCGCCCCCGCGCCCCTGCCCCTACGCCCCCGCCCCGCGCGTCCTGCAGGCACCGGCGACGCCGACAAGCGGCGGCTGGTGGCCCAGCTGGTGCAGCTTGACGCGTCGTACCACGGCGGGCTGACCGCCTACATAGGCAACGCCAAGGAGCTCCTCAGGGACTCTAGGGAGGGTGAGCGCGCTTCGCAGGCAGACCCGGACCCAAGGCGGCGCCCGGCGGGTGCTTCTACCGGGCGCTTCGGATATTACTTGCCGAGCAAATGGGGCGCCGGCGTGATCCGGTTGGTGTCTGTGAGGGCTGTCTCAGTCACTCCGGGCCCTGGCCCTTGCTGCGCTCGAAGCAAGGCCCAGCCAAGGTGGTGGTGCAGCGGCGCACAGCGGCGCCCTGCTCCTCTGACCCCGCAGGCGGCCTGGCTTTCCCCTGGCTTTCTCCTTCTCCATCCAGACCCACCCACCGCCACACACCGCCACCCGCGCACACATGCAGGCCGCAACCCCTTCGACGGCTACACGCCCTCTGTGCCCGAGGGCGAGAACCTGGACTTTGGCAGCCGGAGGTTCCTGGATCTGGAGGAGGGCGGGCTGGCCGCCGCGGCCAGGGCCGCCTTTGTGCTGGTGGCAGGCGGCCTGGGGGAGCGCCTCGGCTACTCGGGTGCGCGCCAGAGGTGGCAGCGGGGGGTCGCCGCCGCCCGCGTCGGCGGCCGTTTGAGGGGGCGGGGAGCGACTGGGACGCCGGCGACGCGGCGCGGGGGCGCCCCAGTGCGCGGTCGGGCGCGGCGGCGCGGCACTCTGGCGGTTGATGACGACAGCACTGCCACGCGCCGCGGGTCAGTTGGCCCCCAGCACCCCTCCCTCGCGGGGCCCGGTGCGGAAAGCCGCCTCGCCCTGCCGCTTCGACAGGCATCAAGGTGGCGCTGCCCGCGGAGTGCGCGTCGGGCCGCGGGTTCCTGCAGCTGTACATTGAGTTCATTTTGGCCCTGCAGGTGGGGGTGTGTGTGGGGT